TCTGCAGGACCTGTAATGAGTTAGGGCTGAATTCCTGCCAGCCCTTCTGGTAACGTTTAGAGAGGCCCTGGCTCCTGGCCAGACCCAGTGCTGGAGAGAGAAAGGCAGAGCTTGACAGGAGAGAAGATATTGCAGGATGTCTGGGAGACAATCCCACTCGGGGTGAGATCACAGCCTGTGCAGCCCCTTCCCAGCATCTGCAGCCTGGCGTGCCCCGGGGCTGCTTCAGCCCCATCCTCGTGGCTTTCCCTGTCCCATCCTTGTGGCTTTCCCTGTGCCCCATCCTTGTGGCTTTCCCTGTGCCCCATCCTTGTGGCTCTCCCTGTGCCCCATCCTTGTGGCTCTCCCTGTCCCATCCTCGTGGCTCTCCCTGTGCCCCATCCCAGGTGTCCCCTCTGGAGCAGGCACTGGGGACAGCAGGAGGTCCCGTGGCACCACTCCGCTGGCCGGGAGCACCCGGGTGTGTCACAGGGGATAAATATTCGTCATTTCCCATCAGTCTGTGAGAGGCACTCAGGATCACAAAGCGCATCCCGGTGTGATGAACCCCGGCTGTGCCGAGCTCGGGCACCCGCGGGGCCGCGGCTGCGGAGGGGTTAACGCTGCTCCCCGGGGATGGAGCTGTCCCCGGGGTCACGGGAATCACCGGGATTACCGGGATCACCGCGGCTGCGGAGGGGTTAACGCTGCTCCCCGGGGATGGAGCTGTCCCCGGGATCCCCGGAGTCCCCAGGGATGGATGTGTCACCAGGATCCCCGGGGATGGATGTGTCACCAGGATCCCGTGATCCCCAGGAATGCAGCTGTCCCCGCGATCCCCGGGGATGGATGGATGTGTCACCACGATCCCCGGGGATGGATGGATGATGGATGGATGGATGGATGGATGGATGGATGATGGATGGATGGATGGATGGATGGATGGATGGATGGATGGATGGATGGATGTGTCCCCGCGATCCCGGGCTGCTGGAGGTGCACACCCCGCAGGACAGATGTGCCGCCGGGAGGGATCTCCAGGGAAGTCTGCCGAAGGTTTTCTTGTAGTTCTCGTTGTTCTGCTGTGATTTTGCCAGCAATAAATTCAGTGAGGAGCACCAGTCTGAGCGTGCTGTGCCCGTGACGGTGTTTGCTGAGGGATCTCTCCCCAAATCCATCACAGCCCCTCTTTTTCCATGCACTCACGCCCTCGGGGGCTGCTCTGTCCCTGGAGCAGCCTGGCTGCAGCTGCCCCGTGCCCCCCAGACCGGGGCTGTGCCTGCCAGCTCCTGCTCCCAGCAGTGTCCCCACCACGGGCTGCTGTCCCTGTCCCTGCTGGCTGCTCCTGGGCCGGTCCCGCTCTGACAGTGCTGCTGTGTCCCTGCAACAGAGAATTCACCCCCAGCGGGCACATCCCTGCTGGAAATTCCGTGGGAGAGGGCACGGATGGAGCCAGGGCTGGTGCCCCTCTCACCCTGCAGCCCCCAGGGCTCAGAGCACCCATCCCCAGCTCTGCCAGCTCACACTGGCTGTTCACATTTTCAGCCTTCCCTTCACAGGCACAAAAATTAATTTTTTCTCTCTTTTTCAGTCCCGCGAGTCTCGCAGGTTCTCTGAAACATCCTCGCTGCTGCTCAGGAGTAACCCAAATCTGGATGTGTAGGGGGAGGAACGTGTGCAGGCAGGCTGGACCACACACAGCCCTGGCCACAAGCTGGGAGAAAATGGATTTGTTCATTCCAAATTCCATCCCCCTTCTCCCAGCTTTGCTGGAGCTGCTGTCCCTGCTCCACGGGCACAGGGAATGATCACCCAGCATGGCTGGATTAGGTGGAACCCACTCCTACAGGCCTGCCTCATTTCTCCCCTCCCTGCTTCCACTACAGGTGTTCTGTGCCTGATCTCTGCATTCCTGGCGTGCCTGGAATTCCCTGATGCTTAACCTCAGATCCGAATTTCCTGGATTTGTAACATTTGGGTTTAATTGAGTAGCAATGACCTTGTACAATTACTCACCCAAACTTCTGCTGTTTGAGCCCCTCCATAACCCCAGCTCCACACCATTTTTAACATAACTTCTGAATTTATTTGATGCCAAATCAGCCTCCAGAGCCTTGGCTCTGTCCTTCTGTTCAAACCATCTGATATCCCAGATCTGGTGTTGAAAGGAGTGGCTCCAGTCAGGAATCTGTCCCTGCCTCACGCCAGGTGTTGTGCAGCTTGGTGGGGTGCAGACCCACCCTCCCCAGGATGAGCCAGCCTTCCTTGGGGCTGGCTTTGCTCCTGGGCCCCTCAGCGCAGCGGTGGAGGGCTGGTGAGGGGGCTCATCCCCATTTTTAGGGGTAACTCCATTATCCAAGCCCTCAGGCCATCTCCATCCAGGCTGAGCAGCTCCAGGGGCATCGCTGCTGCTGCAGAATGCAGCTCTGGGGAGCTGAGGGAGCAACCATGAGACAAGTCACCACCCCAAACGGCTCCTGTCCATTCCTGGGCATCACTGCACGGGGAACAAAAAGGAAAGAGTCTCCCAGCCCAGTGCTGCTTGAGCAGAGCCAGCAAGGGACAGGCTGTGCTGCCCATCCCCACCCAGGCAGGGTGTGCAGGTGTCCCTGTCCCACTCTCAGGGGCTCCTGCTGTCCCACCCTGCAGCCCCACGGGCTGTGCCCTCACCCTGAGCCCGCAGTGACCAGGGCAGGGCAGCTCCCAGGGCCCAGGACACTCTGTGTGTGCAGGAGCAGGGGCTGGCAGTGGAGTCACACTGTCCCTGTGCCCGGGGCTGTGTCACAGAGCCTCCAGAAGGAGCTTGCTGAGTGTTCCCAAACCTGCCCCAGAAGGAGCTTGCTGAGTGTTCCTTAAACCTGCCCCAGAAGGAGCTTGCTGAGTGTTCCTGAGCCTGCCCCTTGCCTCTCTCCCAGCCCAGCCTAGCTGGGCTGAGCAGGGCTGCCTGACTGGTTTCTATCCAGCTGGGCTGGTTTGGTGCTGCCTCGCTGATGCTGGCGAGACAAGTGTATTTTCAGGTTCTGCTGGCAGCAGCTTTCACGTGGGATGGGGGCTCTGCCCCCCTGAGCTGCAGCCTGGGACTGGGGGCTCCTGGGCACACACAGCTCTGTGCTGGTGCCACCAGGGACAGGCACTGGGGGTGTGCCAGCCCACGCTGTGCCCTGCCTGGCAGCCCTGGAAGGGCTCGGTGGCTCCGCTTGGCTCAGCTTGGCTCAGCTCGGCTCAGCTCGGCTCAGCTCCCCGTGGGATGCTCACCCCAAGGGCTGCAGAGCTCCTCAGGCTCTGTGCTGGGTGGCCAAACCCCGGCCAGGAAGGCAGAGATTGGTCTCATCCCTGAGAAGGGAGATCTGCCAGCCCTGGGGGCGCTCAGCAGTGACAGGAGGACACTCAGAGCCTGCTGGGGTGTGAGGGGGATGGCTCACAGGTCCTGGAGGTCTCAGAGGTCTCTTCCCTGCCAGTGGTCGCCTGATTCTCTGAGCACCCCAAACCTGGACAAGCTGCTGCAGGGTTTGGGTCTAAGGAGGCTCCTTACCCGAGCCAGGGCGTGTGCAACAAAGCCAGGAGCTGGTGCAGATCTCCCAAATCTCCTTGGAACCTCCTCTGCCAGGCCTGGCTTCTCCTGCCAAGTCATGCCAAGGGTCAGTGGCAGAGGTGAGAGCACAGAACCAAACCCAAGCGTCCCAGCTCCTCCTCCCCTGTGTTTGTTTCCACCAGGGCTCTCCACAAATAAAGGATTAATTGAGGCTGTTACAGTTAACCTGAAAGGGCCCTGCAGCATGAATTGGGGATCCTAAACACAACCAGTTTCAGGTCAGTAATTAGTGCACTTCACTCATTACAGGTGCACCCTGGGAGCTCTGAAACAAGTACAGGATCAGCAAGAAAAATATCTGGAAGCAATGGCAGTGATCTCAGAGAGCTCTGGCTTGAGCACAGCTGGATTGCTGCTGCCTGCTCACCAGGGCTGCCCCGTTACTGCAGAGCCTTTGGGCATCCTGGCTGAGGAAATGCCCTGGGGCTGGTCAGTGACACCAGGACAGTGATACCCATGGCCTGGCTGAGGAAATGCCCTGGGGCTGGTGGTCAGTGAGAGCAGGACAGTGATACCCATGGCCTGGCTGAGAAAATGGCCTGGATCTGGTGGTCAGTGAACTCAGGACAGTGCCCAAAGGTCCTGCCTGCCCCCTTGACACAGCCTGGAGCATGGAAACCCCCGGGGAAGGAGAAAGCAGCAGAATGTTCCATGTCTTTATTCACAGAGAGCCAATATCAGTGAAACCTGCTTGACAAACTGCCCCCTGAGGACTGCAGAAATACCTTTTCCATCTGCAAATGGGCTGTTAATAGGAGAAGATTTAGAGGCTCCAAAAGCACTCCTGGAGCGTGTGATAAAAGAGTGTGGGAGCAAAGTGCAGAGCCTGAGCTAAAGCTGCTCTGTGGGTCAGGATCTCTGCTCTGTGGGTCAGGATCTCTGCTCTGTGGGTCAGAATCGCTGCTCTGTGGGTCAGGATCGCTGCTCTGGCTCTGGCAGGATGCAGAGAGAGCCAGAGCTGCTGCTGGGGGGCTCAGAGCTGCTGCTGGGGGCTCAGAGCTGCTGGGCACTGCCCCAGCCCTGCTGCCTCTGCTCCTGGGGCTCCTTCCACCCAGCGGGGCTTGTGTGAAGCCTGCTGATTCATAAGAGAGAAATATGGTCTGGAGGAGAGATGGTGCTGCTTCAGTGCTGGAAAATCTCAGCTGAAGGCCAGGAATGTTTGAAACTGAACTCCACAAGCGCAGAGATAGGGAAGGACGTTAGGGCTCCTTGCATGTGCCAGAAATAGAGCACATCCAGGAAAAGAGCCTGGAACAATGGTGCAGGAAAAGCTTATCTGCAGGAGCAAAGGAGCACAGGTTTCTTTATAGTGCCTGAAAAAAACCAACAAAACAAAACAAAGCAAAACAAAACAAAACAAAACAAAACGATGGCCCTGCTGTAGATCCTGACTCTCCTCTCTCCCACTCTCCCCCAGGTCCAGCAGAGCTGAGGATGCAGAGCTCCGAGGGTGGCTCACCTGGCCGGGCAGGGCTGGCCCAGCTCTCTGGTGAGCACTGGAAATGCAGAATTTCATCTTCACTGCCTCAGCTCCATGAACACCCTGAGGAGCCCCGTGCTGAGACCAGCCCTGGGGCCAGCTGCCAGGGAGGTGCCAGGGCTGAAGAAATGCCCTGAGAGCTGGTGCCAGGGCAGGGTGAGCTCTGTGAGCGTCAGCAAAGGCAAAGGGGCTGCTCCATCCCAGCCAGGGTCTGCCACAGCTTCAAGGGGAACCCCTGCCACATCCACCTGCACACGGTGGTGTGCAGCTGGAGGGGGCTGCAGGAGCCAGCCCGGGCTCCTTCTTCTGGCTGGGGGCCCACAAAATCACCAAAGCCTTCTGCCAAGCTGGGAGGACGGGCACGAACAGGACCTGAGGGGGGTGTGGGTGGGAGGGCTCTGGGGGGTGAGCTGGGATGCTCAGGGAGCTGCTGGCTCAGCTGGCGTGGGGAGGGATGGAGGAGCTGCTGGAGGCCTGCAGGGGACAGGACGGTCCCTGGGCACCCCCGGCAGCCCGGGGTGTGGCTGTGGTGCCAGACCCTGAGAGGACAGGAGAGCTCCCTGCCAGCCCCCTGGGCAGGACGTGGCTCTGCCATCGCTTCTGTCAGAGGGCACACAGGGCACTGCAGGAACATTGAGGTGTAACAGGCTGGGCTGAAGGGCAATAAAGAGCAGATGCCTGAAGCCTTCTGATGAGCTGTGGTGTTGCTCTGTGTGCTGAAGCCATCTGGAATTGCATGGTGACACCCTGTGAGCTGTGCCATCTCCTCTGTGCCATGCTGTGACACCCTGGGCACCAGGGCTCAGGGAGCAGCTCAGGATTTGCTGCCCTGGGCTGGGATGATGCTCCAGGGGCACCTGCTGCAATCACACCACAGAAACCCTGGTGAGTGCACTATCGTGAGGATTGTGTAAATATTTTCATTAACTTCACCTTCAATCTACATGAAGGGCAGATTTTTATCACATTTCCTGACAAAACAGCTTTTTTTTTCTTTTCAGGAGGGAGGAGGAGGATGAGTAAGTGCTAGAGGAGAATTCCTGCAGTGATTTCACAGCAGATGAAAGCAGCCAGATAGGAGCTGTGCTGCCTGGAGCAAGGGGACAGGCACCCCCAGAGCCTGCAGCACTCCCATTTCCTGGTGATGGGGCACGTTTGGTATTCCTGTCTGTCTGACAGGAACACGGGGAGAGGCCCAGCCCCGCGGGCAGCTCCAGGCTCTGCCTGCCCCCTCCAGGGTGCATTTGAAGGGTCTGGGGTTGACCCTGTGTGTGGCTGGCAGGGAATAAACGGGAACCAGCCCAGCCTGGGAATTACCCTGCACTGGGCTGGGCTGCGGGCTCCTCTGCCCCCACGGGAGGGGCTCTCCCTGCCAGGGTTGCCCAGGCAGCTCCACGAGGGAACAGCAGTGCCCAGCAGGCTGGAGAGGCCGTGGCTGATGAGGATGGGAGGGTGGATGTCATGGCAGGGGCTCTGGAGGAGGCTGGGAACAGGGAACACATCCAGAGCTGAGCCATCACCAGGGCCTGGAGCAGCCCAGGGTGTGCAGGAGGCAGGACTGCAGAGCTTCACACGGGCTCCTCTGCCCCCACGGGAGGGGCTCCAGACTGCATCCCAGTGACTCCAGACTGCATCCCAGGGACTCCAGACTGCATCCCAGGGACCCCAGACTGCATCCCAGGGACTCCAAACTCCATCCCAGGGACTCCAGACTGCATCCCAGGGGCTGCCAAACTCCTGGCTGGGGCTGCTTCTCCTGCTTCGGAGTCTGCAACCCCAAAAAGCCCCAGAATGGGGCTGCAGCAAGGGACCAGAGCTGTGCCAGAGCCCAGGGGATGGGCACTGCCCCAGCTGCAGCCCTGGCACTGGAGGCAGGCACAGAGTGAGATTTCCAGCCAGCCCCAGCCAGGAGGGGCTCTCAGCTCCCAAAAAGGGCCAAGGTGGGGTGGGGGGTCGGGCTCCTGGGCCAGGGACAGGCCAAGGGGAATGGTCACACCAGGGCTGGGTTTTAGGGAACATTTCTCTGCTAAAAGCGTGGCCCAGCACTGGATCATGCCCATGGCAGTGCTGGAGTCACCATCCCTGGGGAGGGTCCCTCACCCTGTCCCCCCTGCACCCCCAAGGAAAGAATGCAGCTCTGCAAAAGCCAGGCAGGAGCAGAGCAGAAAAAGAGCACTTTGGTGTTATTTTCTTTTCTGGCCCATTTTGAATTAATTAAGGAATGTGATCTAAACTATAAATACCCTCCCTCACGTATGATTTATGGCCTGTTTGTTCTGGATTGGTATGTGCTTAATCTCTAATTGTGAGCCCACCATCTGTTTTTATTGATCTGCTTGCCAGCAGAGTTATTGCTCTCCTTGGCCTTATAAGGGAAAATTAGGTATGTGCAGAGGGAGCCAGGGCGGGCTGCCCTGACGTCAGCCCTGCCTGCTCAGGCTGTGCTTCCCAGCCTTCTCCAGGCTCCCTCCCCGTGTGAAACTGCAGCCCAGGGCCCCCAGAGCCCCCTTATCTGCTGTGAAAAACGCCACTCACTCCTGCTTAAATGTTTAAAGTTTAATAGCAATAAAATGGTTGTAAAAATGGCAATATAATTAGAGAGATAAAAATGTGGACAATCAAAAATGAATTAGGATTTAGGACAATATGAGACAATAAAAACAAAGAGTTACAGACAGTCTGGGTATCTCTTTCTGGGCAAAATAAGCCCAAAAAAGGACCCATGTTAACAGAGGATTAACCCTTAAAAACCACAGCCTGTTGCACATTCATACACCTCATCCATGATGCATAAATTCCATTCAAACACAGGATTCTGTCTGGTCACTGTCAACTTCTTCCTCTGAATCCTGAGATGAGAAAGGTGAGAAGAAGTTTGTTTCTTCTGATAACGGAGCAATAAATTCTTTTTCTCTGAAAGATTCAGGTGTCCTGTGGCTGCTATCTTGCTGCGAGTTCTTTCTTTAAAAAAAAAGTATCTTAAAAGCATAGTTTCTATTTGAAAATTATGTTATAACCTAAACCTGTATTTAACACGCTACTTAAGGAAATTAACACAGCATCACTTTCTAACATCACACATGCAATATTCATTTTAATACTTGCGAAAAGCCAACAATAAAATCTGCATTTTTCACATCTGCAGAGCCCCTCAGCCCATCCCAGCTCCTGGCACCCCTCCCTTCCCTGCCCACACTGGGATTGCTCTCCAGGGGGAAGGAATGGTGAGAAGAGGAGGCTGGCGTGGCTTTGGTGTGTTTGGCTGTAAATCAGGATTCTGCCAGCCCAGCCCCAGTGCTGCCCGTGCTGGGAGTGTCTCCATGAGAAAAGAGGGTTTGTTCAGGGCCCTGGAGGGCTGGGCTGTGTCACTGAGGGCACAGATACCAGAGCCCAGCCCGTGCCCATGGCCAGGGCAGGCAGGGAGGGCAGGGGCTCCCAGGAGCAGCTGGAGGGCTAAAGGGACGTTCTGAGGTTTAAATGAATGTTTTCAGGTTTAAATGGATGTTCTGAGGTTTAAATGAATGTTTTCAGCTTTAAATGGATGTTCTGAGGTTTAAATGAATGTTTTCAGCCAGGCAGGGAGGGCAGGGGCTCCCAGGAGCGGCTGGAGGACTAAAGGGACGTTCTGAGGTTTAAATGGATGTTTTGATGTTTAAATGGACGTCTAAATGGATGTTTTCAGCTTTAAATGGATGTTCTGAGGTTTAAATGGATGTTCTGAGTTTCAAATGGACGTTTTGAGGATTAAATGAACGTTTTGATGTTTAAATGGGCGTTCTGAGGTTTAAAGGATGTGAAGGAAGCAGTGCCATTTATCTGCAGAGCTGGGGAGCAGAGAAAGGCACTGGCAGTGCCCCAAAGGGAAGGGAAGGGCTCTCTGTCCCCATCACAGCCGGTCCCAGCGGGGCCAGGGGACCCCTCTGGCCCCCAGACCCCCCTGGGCTGTGCTGGGAGCCCCAGAGGGGTGGCTGAGGCTCCCTGGGGCTCTGCAGGCACCCAGAGCTGCCTGGCACAGCCGGTGGGGACAGGGCGATGCCCAGGACCCCCAGTGCCTGCCCGGGGTCTGTGGGGACACCCAGGAGATTCAGGGACAGAGTGGGGACGCCCCTCCCCGTGCCCTGGGAGCCCGGGGCTGGGGTCACACGGAGCCCTGGCTCTGCCTTTGTGTCTCCACCACAAAATGCCTCAAACGCGTTTGCAGCCAGGAAGGAGCTGCTGTCATTGCTCAGTCTCCACAACCTCCCTGGTTATTATTTTAAGCCATTTCCCTGATTTCAGGGCCTGGCCTGGAGATCCCCATTCCCAGACTGACTGATGCCTGTGATGACAGGATTTCTGCTGTTGGGCAAATGAATTTCCCATGGGATTGTGGCCTAATATATAAATATAAAACTGACACATTTTGACTGGGCTGAAAGGAAAATAGCTCCAGCTCACAGGAGATAAGGCTTGCAGGAGATAAGGCAGCAGCTGGAGTGTGAATTGCAGTGAGGATCCCACTTTTCCCACAGATCCTGCTGATGTTTGCTGGCCTGGCTGTGCAAGCCCTTGAGAAACATCAGCAGCGTTGAGGCAGCCTTTGGTTCTGCTCCATCTCAGCCTCACCTGCCTGATCCTGGGCACAGCACGGGCCTGGAGGGGGAAGAGGGAGCTCTGTGTGCTCAGAATTCACCCAGGGATCTGCCTGGAGCTGTGGGAAGGCTGGCGGTGAGGATGGGGGGCAGCGCCAGCCCTGGACAGGGCAGGGAGGAGATGGACAAACAGCCAAGGACCAGCTGGACGGGAGGGATGGGGATCTCTGTGCCCTCCCCCAGGAGGGAGCCAGGCTGAAAGCACCTGGGCAGTGGCATTGCCAGGGCTCTGGGCAGTGGCATTGCCAGGACTCTGGGCAGTGGCATTGCCAGAGCTCTGGGCAGTGGAATCCCCAGGGCTCTGGGCAGTGGCATTCCCATGGCTCTGGGCAGTGGCATTCCCAGGGCTCTGGGCAGTGGAATCCCCATGGCTCTGGGCAGGGCTGTGCTCTGGGAGCTGCCTTGTGAGGAGCAGGAGGAGCAGAGCCTGGCTGGGGTGGCCCTGTGCCCAGACACCAGGCTGTGACACCAGGCTGTGGCCAGGCTGTATTTGGAGGGTGATCTCAGAGCCCTGGAGCTGTTTGCTCACACATCACAACTGAGGGTGTTTGATCCTGACCTCAGCACTTATAAATAACCCAGCTGGGGCCATGCAGACACCCAAACAAATGGTCCCTCTCCTCCTCTCCTCTCCTCTCCTCTCCTCTCCTCTCCTCTCCTCGATGATAAAATCCTGAGGAATGTGTTGAGGGCCGTGCAGGGCCAAGGCTGGGGCACACACACACACACACACACACACAAGTGTGGGGGCTGGAATGAGCAGCAGGATTTACCTGCACTCTGAGCCCCAGGCATGGCCAGAGCCCTCGGCCTGTTCCTGTGCCCTGGTAGAGCCATCCCATCCATCCATCATCCATCCATCCATCATCCATCCATCCATCTATCCATCATCCATCCATCATCCATCCATCCATCTATCCATCATCCATCCATCATCCATCCATCCATCTATCCATCATCCATCCATCATCCATCCATCCATCTATCCATCATCCATCCATCATCCATCCATCCATCTATCCATCATCCATCCATCATCCATCCATCCATCTATCCATCATCCATCCATCATCCATCCATCCATCTATCCATCATCCATCCATCATCCATCCATCCATCTATCCATCATCCATCCATCATCCATCCATCCATCTATCCATCATCCATCCATCATCCATCCATCCATCTATCCATCATCCATCCATCATCCATCCATCCATCTATCCATCATCCATCCATCATCCATCCATCCATCTATCCATCATCCATCCATCATCCATCCATCCATCTATCCATCATCCATCCATCATCCATCCATCCATCTATCCATCATCCATCCATCATCCATCCATCCATCTATCCATCATCCATCCATCATCCATCCATCCATCTATCCATCATCCATCCATCATCCATCCATCCATCTATCCATCATCCATCCATCATCCATCCATCCATCTATCCATCATCCATCCATCATCCATCCATCCATCTATCCATCATCCATCCATCATCCATCCATCCATCTATCCATCATCCATCCATCATCCATCCATCCATCTATCCATCATCCATCCATCATCCATCCATCCATCTATCCATCATCCATCCATCATCCATCCATCCATCTATCCATCATCCATCCATCATCCATCCATCCATCTATCCATCATCCATCCATCATCCATCCATCCATCTATCCATCATCCATCCATCATCCATCCATCCATCTATCCATCATCCATCCATCATCCATCCATCCATCTATCCATCATCCATCCATCATCCATCCATCCATCTATCCATCATCCATCCATCATCCATCCATCCATCTATCCATCATCCATCCATCATCCATCCATCCATCTATCCATCATCCATCCATCATCCATCCATCCATCTATCCATCATCCATCCATCATCCATCCATCCATCTATCCATCATCCATCCATCATCCATCCATCCATCTATCCATCATCCATCCATCATCCATCCATCCATCTATCCATCATCCATCCATCATCCATCCATCCATCCTCCATCCATCCATCATCCATCCATCAGCCATCCATCCATCATCCATCCATCCTCCCTCCATCCATCCATCCATCCATCCATCCGAGCCCGTTCGGGGCAGCAGCCATGTGTAAATCCCAGCGGGAATGCTGGCCGGCAGGGAATTCCCACGAGGATCAGGATGGGAGGCCTGGGAAGGGCGTGAGTGCCCCCAGCTCCAGCCAGGGCACTGCGGTGGGTGGCACAGCCTGCCCAGGGCAGTGCCCGGCTGCCCCGGCTCTCTCCGGCAGAGTCGCTGCTGTCCCCCCGTGCCTGGGGATGGCATCAGCTGCTCACTGCTGGGTGCGGGTGAGGAGCTGGACGCTCTCCCATCCCCTGCGCCCTGCAGGGGTGGAAATCAGAGATGCCACATTAAAACCGAGCTCTTCACGCATTTCCAGCCTCGAGTCCCCGGGGCCGGCGGGTCGGGAGCTCCTGTCCCCAGGGCCGTGTCCTGCTGCCACCCGGACACAGTCCCCGGGACACGGCCCCGGCTCGCTCCCGGCTCGCTGAGCCGGATCCCGCCCCGGCCCGGCCATTCCTGGCCGTGATTCTTCAAGCAGGAGCTGGGGGTTCCCACAAGAGGCTCCCTGCTCATCGCAGCTTGGCGCTATTTACACATTTTAACAATCCAGGACATCAGCCTGCACTAACTGCTGACCACATCGCTTTATTAACGTTTACTTTTTATTAATTGGCACCCAGCCCTGTGAGCCATCCCTGGCATGCCTGGGTACCCTGTGGAGGCCCTGAGCCATTCCTGGTGTGCCCGTGCCCAGCCCCTGGGAGCTCTGCTCCTGCTGTGCTGCAGGGCTGGCATGGGTGGGAGGTGACCCCACCCGGGACAGTGTGTTTGGGGTGGCAGAGGCTCTCCTGCTGCAGCCAGAGGGTTCCCCGTGGCCTCCAACCCTCCCGTGGATGACACAGAAACACCAAATGTTCCCATTCCACATTAAAGGGGCCCATCCTGGTGACCCCAGCCCAGTGACACCAAACCTTCCAAATTCACGTTAAAAGGGTCCATCCTGGTGATCCCATTGGGGAATCTCCTCCGTGTCCAGCCCCACGCCAGCCCTAGGCTGGGGACAGAGCAAAGATCTCAACCCGAAATGTGGGGTGCCCCCGAGCTGTCACTGCACCCACAGCCTGTGGCAGGGCTTTGCCACCGGATCCGGTCTGCTTTGATCCAGTCTGATCCCATCTGATCTGTTCTGATCCAGTCTGTTGTGCCCCGCTCTGCCGTGCCCTCTCTGCCCCGAGGGGACGCTGCAGAGCGGCGCTGCCGCTCCGGCGGCCGCAGCCCGGCCGGGGGTCCCCGTGCCCGTGGCCGGGGGGCACAGGGGGTGTCCCCGGGGCGGCTAGGCGCTCTGGAAGCCCCACACCTCCAGGAGCTGCACCTGGAAGTTCTCCCGGCAGAGCGGGGGGTTGCCGAAGGTCTCGCAGCGCTCCGTGTGTCCCCGCAGCAGGCTGGCGTCCAGGGACAGCGCCTGGCCGCCCCCTCCTCCTGCGGGAGCAGCGCAGGCTCGGCCGCGCTCCCGGCCGTGCCAGCCCGGCCCGGGCCCCGCGGCACGAGGGAGGGCGGCCAGGGGCGCTCCGGGCCAGGGCAGCGACCCCGGCAGGGCTGGGCTCGGGGGTCCCCTGGGGCTCCGGGAGGAGCCCCCCGGGCTGGGCAAGGGGAGCTGCCCTCGCCTGCCCGGCCTGGAGCCCGATATCCCCGGGGAGCTGCTGGGAGCCGGCAGGGACCCCCTTATCGATAGGGACCCCCCCTTATCGATAGGGACCCTCTTATCGATAGGGACCCCCCCTATCAACAGAGATCCCCCCTTATCAATGGGGACCCCCTTATCGATAGGGACCCCCCTTATCAATGGGGATCCCCCCTTATCAATAGGGACCCCCTTATCAATGGGGACCCCCCATCAATAGGGATCCTCCCTTTTCAATAGGGATCTCTGTTACTGACATCAATCCCTCCTTACCAATATCGATATCCCGTGCCGATATCGATCCCCCGTGCCGATATCGATCCCCCTTACCGATGACGATGCCGTCCCGGGAGCCGGACATGAACATGGAGGCCGTTCTGGAGGGCAGCAGGAAGTGCCTGATGGCCAGGAACGGGGACAGGCGGGCTCTGCTCGGCGGCGAGGGCACGGCCAGGCGCTGGGGGCTGCGGCTGCCCGGGGAGGAGCCGAGCGGGGGCTCGGCAGCGGGGGAAGGCGAGCGCTGCCGGCAGCGCGGCGCGGCCTTGGCCAGCTCCGGCTGCCGGATCAGCACCCACTCGTACCTCTCTGCCTCGGGGCGCACCTGGCAGCGGGCACCCCTGTGAGCCGGGCACCGCGCCCGCCGGGCAAGGCGCTGCTGCTGCGGCAGGGCTGGGCAGGGCCGGGCTGTCCTGGCAGGGCCACGCAGGGACGGAGCCAGACACACACCGCGACTTACAGTGAACACAAAGCACTCCCCCGTCCCGAAAAAGGCCGGCGTGCCTCCGCTCTTCTTCCTCTCGGCCCAGTCGGAGGAGAGGAAGGCCCCACACACCTGGGGAGAGAGCACAGGGAGCTCAGGGCATGGATCAGCCTCGCCGTGGCCTCTCTGCCCCTCGGCCTCTCCTCCTGTTCCCAGCACCCCGGCTGAGCTGTGTCCTGCTGCCCGAGGAGTTTGTTCTGCCCGGGAGCTGGGACAGAGCCAGGCGGGGCAGGACAGGGAGCACCTGGCCCTTGGGGGCTGCCTTCTGCTCGGCGGCGAGGGCACGGCCAGGCGCTGGGGGCTGCGGCTGCCCGGGGAGGAGCCGAGCGGGGGCTCGGCAGCGGGGGAAGGCGAGCGCTGCCGGCAGCGCGGCGCGGCCTTGGCCAGCCCCGGCTGCCGTATCAGCACCCACTCGTACCTCTCTGCCTCGGGGCGCACCTGGCAGCGGGCACCCCTGTGAGCCGGGCACCGCGCCCGCCGGGCAAGGCGCTGCTGCTGCGGCAGGGCTGGGGCGGGCAGGGCTGTCCTGGCAGGGACACGGAGGGACAGAGCCAGACACACACCGTGACTTACAGTGAACACAAAGCACTCCCCCGTCCCGAAAAAGGCCGGCGTGCCTCCGCTCTTCTTCCTCTCGGCCCAGTCGGAGGAGAGGAAGGCCCCACACACCTGGGGAGAGAGCACAGGGAGCTCAGGGCATGGATCAGCCTCGCCGTGGCCTCTCTGCCCCTCGGCCTCTCCTCCTGTTCCCAGCACCCCGGCTGAGCTGTGTCCTGCTGCCCGAGGTGCAGTTTGTTCTGCCCAGGAGCTGGGCAGAGCCGGGGTGGGGCAGGACAGGGAGCACCCGGCCCGTGGGGGCTCCCAGAGGTGCCAGTGGGGTCACCCAGCCTGTGCCCGTCCCCAGCCCTGCCTGGGACACGCTCACCTCCCCCTCGGTGGTTTTGATGAGCAGCACCGTGGGTTCGTAGCCCTCACAGCACGTGTAGAACCTGCAGAGATGGACAGGGTGGGCTCGGGGGCAGCTGCAGCCCTGGGCAGGCTGTGCTGGCTGTCCCTGGTGGCTCACAGCGTGCCTGGCACAGTGTGGCACACGGGACATCCCTGCCTGGCACACCCACAGGGCTCCCTGTGCCCCGGGCAGTGCCCAGCTGTTGGTGGCCACCTGGGCCAGCCTCTGTCCCCACCCTGAGCGCACTCAGGAGCCCCAGCCGAGCCCGGGAGGGTCCCCAGCAGCCCCAGAGGTGGCCCCGGTCACTCGTGCTGCTCCTCTCTCCAGCACCAAGCCCTGCCCAGGTCCCCCCGGGGCAGGGCAGGCGTCACCTCTGCAGGCTGCAGCCGTCCTCGGAGGTGGAGAAGAGCAGCAGCGGGGGGAAGAGCGAGAAGCGCTCGGGGATCCAGGACCAGACGAGGCGCATCTCCTGCGCCGTGACAGTGCTGGAGCTGAACTTCTGCATGTCCACGGCCAGGGGGAAGGACGGCCTGCAGGGCAGGGGCATCAGCCGGGCTGGGCCTTTTGTGCTTTTTGGGGCACAGCCGTGTCCCCTGACAGGGTCCCCAGGGCTGCGAGGGCCCAGCACAGCCACAGCTGGGAGGTTCCTGCAGCTCCCCCAGGGGTTCCCCACAGGAGCTCCCGTTTTGCCAGCTCAGCCCCAGGGCTGGGAAGGGCAGAGCTCTCTCACCTTCTCTGCACCACGGTGATGCCCCTCTCCACCAAGGCCTTCCTGTTGGCCATGTGGAGCAGCCAGATCTCCTTGCGGGAGAAGAGGCGGATGCCAAAGGCTCTCTCCAGGAGCTTGTCCACGGTCACGTGCTCGGCGATGTTCCTGGCGAAAGCCTGCAGCTCCGCCTTGACGTCGCAGCCCTGCGGCGCGGCCGGGCCGGCCGAGAGCCTGAACTGCTTCAGCAGGGCCAGGGCGATGCGGTACAGCACCTTCTGGCCCTCCAGCAGGAACACGTCCAGCACGCGCGCGGCGTAGGCGAAGGGCAGCCCGGGGAAGAGCCACGACAGCCACTCCGAGTAGACCTCGAGGACGTTGTCGGCGGCGCCGGCGATGAGCTTGTGCGCCGCCGGGCAGTGCTTGCTGGCCAGGTCCCCGAAGGTCATGCAGGAGGCCTGGTGGGCCAGGAAGGACTGGTCGATGTAGGCGGCGTGGGGCGCGTTGCTGGCGATGAGGCGCGAGAGGCTCTCGAAGCACTGGGCCTCGTCCTCGCTGTAGTGCAGCAGCAGCGCCGCCAGCGCCGGCAGCAGCGGGCTGTGCGTGATGTCGGGGAACAGGGCGCCCACGCACACCAGGATCTTCCTCAGGGCCGTGACCCCGCGCGGGCTGAGGCAGTAGGTGGGCACGGGGCAGCCCTCCAGGAACTCGGGCAGGGGGTGCGAGCTCACGCCGGGGGTCCCGAAGAGCCGGCCGGCCACGTCCCGGTACACGAGCGCGTCGGGGGTGACGAGGCGGCAGGAGACCCGCTGGATGAGCCGCGGGTAGAGCCGGGCCCGGCCCGCGTGGCTCCCGGCCCAGCAGCCCTCCCTGGCCAGCCGCTTCAGCTCCTTCGGGGGCCGGCCCAGCACGTCCCGCGGGATCTGCGCCGGCCCCTGCGGCTCCGGCATCCTGGCCCAGTCCACGAAGGGCCCGCGGCCCCGGCACGGGGAGGTGTCGATGTCCCACGTGTCAGCCTCGGACGTGACCACGATGGTGACCGGGGATGAGCCGAGCACCTCTGCGGGACAGAGAGCTTTTACTGATCGCCTCTCGCCGCCCCGCCAGCAGCGTTCCGCCTGCCTCGGGGCGCTCTGAGGTCTCACAGCCGCGTCCTGCGTTTCTTTGCTCTCCCCGCAAAGGGAAGCGTTTCGGGCTTTGCCCTCTCCCGCTGCCATCAGCTCCGGGCCCCGCAGAAGTGGGGGGCCAGGTCCCGGCTGGTGTCAGGGCTGCTCCTCACACCGTGAGGGGCTTTTCGGCCCTCGCAAAGCCCCCAGCCCGAGGCAGGGCTCGGGCAGCGCCGCCCGGCGCTGGGAAGAGCAGGGGCTGAGCTCCGCCTAGAGAGACGGGAGCGGCATTTCCCCGGGGCTGCGGAGAGCTGGAGCGAGCCCTGCCCGGGGCTGGCAGCTGTCCCCGCCTGGGTGAGCCCTGCTGGGCGCTCGTCATCCCCCGGGGATAGCGCCAATTAGCACTCATTAACTCTCGGATGTTTGCATCGTGCCCGTGCCCAGCTGCTGGGGGTCAGGGATGGATTCGCACTGGCCAAGGGGACACGGGGGACAGCCCGTGGTGGCCCATCGGGAGGGTCCTGACGCCCGGCTCTGGCTCTCCGGCTCAGTCTGGCGCTTGCCCAGGGCCAGCAGGAGCAGCGGCTCGGGCTCAGCCCGCTCAGGGCAGGAGCTGCTGCACCCGGAGCCGCTCGGGCCGGCTCCTGTCCCGGCCACAGCCTGGCCCAGCACAGTCACGGGGCTCCTGGCCCCAGAAACCGGGCTGAGACAGCACCGGGGCTCGCAGGGGCTGTTTGCTCCCCGAATTCACCTCGTCCTCTCTCGGGGCGCTGCCTGCCCGGGCACCGAGGAGCAGCAGCCCGAGCCCCCAGCGCGGAGCCCCGGGGGCTCCTGGCCCCAGAAACCGGGCTGAGACAGCACCGGGGCTCGCAGGGGCTGTTTGCTCCCCGAATTCACCTCGTCCTCTCTCGGGGCGCTGCCTGCCCGGGCACCGAGGAGCAGCAGCCCGAGCCCCCAGCGCGGAGCCCCGGCCCGGGGGCTGACCGGCGGCTCCGGCTCTGCCCGCCCGGGCCAGCCGGGGGCTGGGGCAGGAACGCGGCTGTGCCGCAGCCCCGCGGCCCGGCCCGGCGGGGGACACAGGGTGAG